CTCCTCCTCCTCCTCTCCTCTCCTCTTCCTCTTCTTCTTCTTCTTCTTCTTCTTCTCTTCTTCCTCCTTCTTCCTCTTCTCCTCCTTCTGACATTTACCTTGTCTTAATCAATATTTTCCCTAACATTTTCTCTCGCATTTCCCTTCTCTTCTCATGCATTTTCCCAATCTGTTCTTTCCCGTTCTATACGCTCATCTTCCTTTCCTTATCTCTTCACTCCTCTTCCCTAAGCATTTTCCCGATCTTAACTTTACTCTTCCCCATTTTCATACAAACATTTTCCTCTTAACTATCCCCCCCCTCCCCACTCCCCTTCCCTTCTCATACACATCTTTATACAACCCGGTAAGTCATCACACTTCCTCACACTTTCATACCTTTATTTCCACCCGAACAAGTCGTCACACTTCTTCACACTTTTCCTCACACTTTCACACTTTTTGACGCCCAAACAACTCATCACACTTCCTCACACTTCTCATCTGCCTCTTTACACCCCCAACACCACTCCCCCCCAAAACGCCACCTCACTCAGACCTCGAACCCACACCAAACCGACCTCGCACCCCAGCAGCAATACATGCGTTTTCCGAACAGAGTTTGTAACGTAATTCATGAACGATATTATACATTATTCAGTCGCCGGTATCAATGTTTCATCAAATTAGGAAAGACGAGATAATTGAAAATGCAGCGTTATATTATGCAAATGAACGCGTCTAAATTAAAATAATTCTGGGGGCAAAGTAAACTTTGAAGACTTATGTGTATATATATAATATATATATATATATATATATTATATATATATATATATATATATATATATATATATATATATCGAGAGAGAGAGAGAGAGAGAGAGAGAGAGAGAGAGAGAGAGAGAGAGAGAGAGAGAGAGAGAGAGAGAGAGAGAGAGAGAGAGAGAGAGAGAGAGAGAGAGAGAGAGAGAGAGAGCCATATTGAGAGAGAAATCCAGAGAAAGAGAGAGAGCCAAACAAACAGACAGAGAGAGACAGCCAATCAGACAGACATACCGAGAAGGAAGACCCCCCCCCCCCGAGAAAAAAAGAAAAAAGGGCGCGACGGGAGGCGGGAGCGGGCGGGAGCGTAATCAGAGCGGCGGGACAATGGGTCGCGGCCGCCCCGAAAGCCCTCCGAAAATTCGAAAATACAGATAGTCGTTGGGAGGAGAGAATAAAATAGAGCGACTGGGAGATTACTTCGCCGCTCGACCGCCTCGCTTCCCTCTCCACCCCCCTCCCTCTCCTCCTCCTCCTCCCTCACTCCTCTCCTCCCCTCCCTTCCCCTCCTCCTCCTCCTCCTCCTTCCCTTCACCTTCTCCTCCCTCCCTTCCATCCCCCTATCTTTCCTTCCCCCTACCCCTCCCCTCTTCGCCTCTCCTCTCCCTGTCCCCTCCCCTCCCCTACCTCTTTTCTTCCTCCTTCCCCCTCACCCCTCTCCTTCCCCATCCCTCTCCTCTCCTCCATTCCCCCTGTTCGCTCTTCGCTCTTCCGCGTTCAAACCCTCCCCCTCCCCCCCTTGCTCTCCCCACTGCTTCCCCTTATTCCTTGTTCCGATGATTCCCCTCTTCTTCCCACCCGCCCCCCCTCTCCCCCTCCTCCGTCCATCTCCCCTTCCTTTCGTCACAACCATCCCCTCCACCTGCCCCCTAACCCCCCTTCTCCCATTTGCCTTCAGAGAGGGAGAGGAGAGGGAGGGAGGGAGGGAGGGAGGGAGAGGGAGAGAGAGATGCTGGGGTGATGTATGTCGTATTTTTAATTGAGGGAGAATGGTGATGATAATGAAGATGGTGATGATGATGATGACTGGTGATGCTGGTGATGGTGATGATGATAGTGGTGGTGGTGATGATAATGAAGATGATGATTATGATGAAAACAACGACAATACCAATACCAACAACACTCATAACGAGGAGGAAGAATCCCCATCACAAAGACGGCTCCATCGATCCTAGCGACCACGAGACAAGACTCCCACGACACCGACATGAGGCATAATCACGTCGAAAGCATCTCGACAGCAGAATACTCCCCCCCCCCCCCCCAGCCTCTCCGCGTCATCCGATCGCCTCGTCTCGCGTCTCCCGGTGATGTTAGCGTCGGATCCCTTACTTTCTTAAAAAAAAGAGGGAGAAGGGGGAAAAAAAGAAAAAAAGAGGGAAGAAAAAGGGGAGAGGAAAAAGTAAAAATAATTAAATAAATAAATAAAAAGGCAAGAAAAAAGGGAGAGAAAAAAATAAAATAATCAAATAAATAAATAAATAAAGGAAAAACGGAGAAGGTAAAAATAATTACATAAACAGACAAAAAAAGGGGAAAAAGAGAAGACAATTTTTTTTTACAAAGCACAACAATTAAAGAAAAATGGGGAAAAGAGAGAAAAAAAGGAAAGGGGAAAAAAGTAAACAAAGGAAAAATTGGGAAAGGATAGAAAAAAGAAATATGGGGAAAACGAAAAGAAAAGAGAAAAGAAAAAATGGGGAAAAGTAAAAAAAGGAAAAAAGGAAAAAAAAGAGGGGGGGGGAGAAAAATACATGAAAAAAAATCGCCTTCCTTCCCTGCACTTGACACTTGCCTTATGTTGATGAAGTGTCAAGCGGCGTCACTCAAGGGATCGCCTCACACTGCCACGCACCCTTGCAAGTCACACTTACTAATGTGGTGTTCTTTGGCAACAGAACATCGTTTTTTTATTCCTCCTTCTGTTTTTTGTTTGTTTGTTTGTCTTTTCTCCTTTCTATAATTCTCTCTTCCTTTTTTTTCTTTTTCTTCTTTTCCATCTATATTTTTGGTTGTTTTTCTTCTTCTTTCCTTTCATTTCTTCTATTTCTTCATCTCTTCCTCCTTTCACTTTTTCTTTTCCTCTTCTCTCTCTTCTTCCCCCACAGAGCCCTTCTTCCCCTCCTCCTCTTCCTTATTCTCCTTCTTTTCTTTTTCCTTATTCTTCTTCTCCCCCTCCTACTTTTCCTTCTCCTCTTCCTCTTTCTTCCCCTTCTCCTCCACCTCTTCTTCTTCTTCCTCCTCCTTCTCCACACACCAACCTAATACTCGAAGCTACAGCAGGACCCAAGCGCTTCAGTAAATACTCGAAGCCGTAACTCCTTCAAGAAAGACCTCCTCCTCGTTCCGTCTGCATTGAGGACGAGCGCGTAAAAGCCTTCCTTATGGCCCATTTCTCGTGATTATCTTTTGCCATTTATCTCTCTCCCCTTATTCCCTATTCATCCACCTCCTCATCTCCCTCTTCGGCTTCATATCTTCATTTTGGGGACCACGAAGAGTAGTGGTGATAGGAAGAGTAGGAATTGTTGTAGCTGCAATAGTAGTAGCAGTCGTGGTAGTCACTTATCTTCCCTCTTTATCCACTCCCTTAATATCCCCCTTAATAGTGGGGATAGGAATGGTAGGAATTGTTGCGGCAGTCATAGTAGCAGTAGTAGTCGTAGTCACTTATCTTCCTTGGTTATCCACTCCCTCAATATCCCCCTTAATCTTGGACATCCTTCTTCTCATGACCATCGTCATTACACAGTCCTTAAGACTAATAGTTCCTGTTGCTACATCACTACTCTCGCCATCACCATCATCTCCCTTCCCACTCTTTTCACTTCCTTATTTACCCAGTTCCTCGCCTCCTCCTGCTTCGTTCTTTTAAAAGGATGAAGTTTCACTCTCAGCCCGTCTCTTGTGTCAAGACAATGTCGCTGACTCTGCAAGCAGCGGCGGCATGCAAATGCAAGCAAAACGGTGTTGCGTCAAGTATGCATGCGTTTCATGTTGCTTTAGCCTGGTATAAACGCCAAATTTGTGAGTCTTTGTTGCAACATGTACGCAAGCACGAGGGGGGGGGGGGGAGTGCCGTGTTGAACTGCTTGCATGTACGGCATGACTGCAACGGAACAAGTAAACGATACCCAGGCGGGAACACCCTTGGAAGGCGAGAGAAATGAAATAAAAGACGATATAAATGTGATGAAAAAGAAACAGAAGAAGGATGAAATGGTGTTGGAGGAAGATGAAGTAGAAAAAAAATAATAAAACGTGGAGCCAGCGGATGAGGGGGAGGAGGAAGAAAAGGAAGAAAATTGGAGACGACGACGACGACGACACAGAAGGAGGAGGAAGAGGAACAGGAGACGACGACGAAGAGCAAGAAAAAAGAAGAAAAAAAATCGTCAAAGACAACACTGATAGCCATCCACTTAATTCCACTGATTAAGGTCCCCAGCGAAGGAAACGACCCGCCCCCTAATTAAGACAACAGCACGTGAAGCCTCCCTCGGGTGCAGGCCGCAACAACGAACAGTGCACAGAAAGTGACAAGTAATAATACCTGCCAGAGAAAAGGACAATAACAGCGGCACAGCAAAGAGATAACATGTGGGATAATATTAGAGTCAAATGAACAATGACAGTGCCACGGTTCGAGATCATGCCACAGTGCCAAAGGGAGGAAGGGGCAAAACAGTGTCACATTATGGGTTAAACCTACAATGTCAAGGGGACTATGCCACAGTGCCAGAGGGAAAAAGAGTAGGGGATAAAACCTATGCCAAACGGACAATGAGTGCCACAGTACCACAGTAGGGAACAATCCCACAGTGCCATTGGATGGAACAAAACAGTGTCACGGTAAAGGATAAACCCAGTGCCAAAGGGACAATGCCACAGTGCCAATGCAAGGGGCAATGATACAGTGCCGTTCAGTGGCATTTTCTCTGCGTGGGAAATTCCTCGAATGACCGCGGGATACGAGACGAGATGCTGGCGGGAGTTTGCACGCGAGCGAGTGAGTGAGCTGAGCGAGCGAGGAGTGAGTGAGGGAGAGTGATGAGTGACGAGTGAGTGAGTGAGTGAGGTGAGTGAAAGTGAGTGACAGGGTGACTGACTGAGCCGGTCATTGGGAGAGTGAGTGAATAGGTGAGCGAGTGAGTGTATGTGTACCCGAATGTTTGTGAGTATAACCATGCGCGATGCATGATAGTGTCCAGCGTCTCCGTGTACGCATGTGTCCGCGTGTACGCATGTATCCCCGTGTACGCATGTGTCCCCGTGTACGCATGTGTCCGTGTGTACGTCCATGCCATTGCGTGCGGCCGCTTACACACGCAGGGATAGGCTGAGCCCCACGCCCTGCCCGGAACGCCCAGGGTCTACTGTATCGATCTCACTTACCAGTCTGCTCGCCGAGGACCTCCCCTCCCCTTCCCCTCCCCGCCATCCTTCCTCTATCCTCCTTCACCCCTTCCCCTCCATTTACCCCTTTCCCCTCCCCTCCCCCTTCCGCTACCTTCTCCCTTCCACTCCCCTCATCCCTTATACTTCCTCCCTATTTCCGCCATCCCCCCCGCACCCCTTCTCCTCCCATCACATTCCTTCTCTCCCTCCCCTCCCCATTTCACCACTCTCCCCTCATCCCTTCTCCTTCCTTCCCACTTCCCGCCACTACCTCTTACCCTTCCCCTCCCCACTTTCTGCCACCCTCTCCCCACCCCCGCCACTCCCTTTCCCCTTCCGGCGCCCTCTCCTTCCACCACCATCCCCTGTACCGCCGGCCGCCCGTCCCGCAAAAGGCCCACACTGAGCACTTGAGGATTAATAAGAGTGTCAAAAACAACACAGATTGGGCGAGAGAGGCCGAGTCTAATGCGACAAATGAGACCAACAAGTGGGCGAGAGAGCGGAGAGCAGACAGAGTGCGAAGTGAGGGGGAGAGGGGGGAGAGAGGGCAGAGTGGGCAGAGAGTGGAGTGGAAAGAAAACAGGAGTGGGCAGAGCTGGGGCGGAGTGACAGGGGCACTAGTGGAGCACGAGTGAGTAGGAGGGAGGAGGGCGGAGTGGCAGGAGTGGGCAGTCGCGGACAGGAGCGAGAGAAGTCTTTGCGAGCGGAGAGGCAGGAAGAGGGCGGAGGGAGGGCGGAGTGGGCGAGTGGGCGGCGGCTAAGGGGATGCCTCTGGTCAGCGGCCAGGAAAACAGGAAAAGAACGCGCGCACGAAGAAGACACTGTTGTAAATCATTTATGTAGGTAGGTGAAGGAGAAGGAGGAGGGGGGAGAGGAGGGGGAGGTAGAGATACGAAGAGGGAGGGAGGTGGAGAGAGTTGAGGAGGGTGGAGGGTGCTGGTGGGAGGTGGGTAGATAGGTGGGAGGGGAGAGGAAGAAGGAAGGAAAGGGAAGTAGAGAAGGGAGAGAGAAGAAGGAGAGAAGGAAGGGAAGAAGGAAGAAGGAAGGAAGGAAAGGGATAAGGGAAAGAAAAGAAAAGGAAGGGAAGGGAGGGAAGGGAAGGAAGGAAAGAAGGGAAAGGGAGGAGAAGGAAGGGAGGGAGGAAAGGGAAGGAAGGAGGGATGAAGGAAGAAGGAAGAAAGAAAGGAAGGAGTAAAGGAGGGTGTGTAATGGGGGGAAAGGAAAGGTGGCGGAGGGGTGAGTAGAAGTAGGTGAATGAATAGACAAACAAACCGTATACAATACGGTACATGAATTTCAAACAAGGCTTAAACACAACCAAAAATAGACACAACAAACATACAAAACAACAACAAAATCAAACAAAACAGCAACCCCCCAGTAGCACTTACGCAATATCAAAGCCGCATCGACCCATTACGGTAACGAAACCGCTATACAAAACCAGGTCGTTGCTTTTTTTTATTATTACTTTTTTACATTTTTATTATTATTATTCTTTTTTATATTCTTTTTGATTACTTCCCTATCTATTTTTATCTTTATTACTTTTTTAATGTTTTATATTTTACCTTAATTATTTTTACTTTCTGTTTTTTTTTTTTTTTTTTTTTTTTTTTACTTTTATTACTTATCTTTCTTTTTTTCTTTACTTCATTATTTTTTTTGTTTTTACTTATTTTTTACTCTCCTACTTCCTCCCCTTCCCTCCCCTTATTCCTTTTATTTAGGTCCTCTTCCGTCCCAAGTTCTCGAACTAAACAAATGCAGCTACATTTCCGCACTTCAGATCTCACGCTAATGACTCAATTACCAGTGTAAAAGCACTTGTCCCATTCGCTCGCCCGCCACTCCTGCGGCCACGACCTCGAACTCCTCATCTGGTTGTAAGCTTGCACTGTTGCTGTTTTTCCCCGAGGAAACAAACGAACGAGTGAAATGCGGCCACGCCCACTGCCCCGGGCGCTACATAGGCCTACGTGACGATTTTTTTTAGGGTTCATTGGTGTTGTTCATCAGTTAGGGGAATTACATATAAATACACACGCGCGCGCGCGCTCGCGCTTACACACACACGCACACGCGCGCACATAAAACGCACACACAGATAATATATATATATATATATATATATATATAATATATATATAATATATATATATATATATATATTAATATATAACATATACATATATATATATAATGTATCGTATATATATATTTATATACATATATACATATGCAAATATATAGGCATAAATATCTAGTTCATATCCGCATCCGCACAAAACATCCTTAACGATCAAACCACCGCGAATCCTGGCCGTTTCGGTCCCGGCCGAGAGACAGGATCGAGTGGCATCACAGCGCGACCCACGAACCACGAATGAACCAGAACCGACGAACCACGAACCGCAACGGCCATCTGTCGATCCGTCTTCGGCGTCAACAAACGGCCCGCCATCTGCCAGACGAACCAGTGATGCAAAAAGACCTCATTTTCCTCCTTTTTTTCTCTCTCTCCTTGAGTGTCACTTCGTCCGTAATTCTGCTTTCATCTTTCTTTTCTTCATCGTCTTTCCTCTTTCTAGTTTTCATCGTTTGTCTTTCCCTCTTTATATTCCCCGTCTTCCCCTTTTATCTTCTCTTGCTTCAATATAGCCTTTCCACCGTCTCTCGTTCCAGTTATTCCCGTGTTCATGGAATTTCTGATTCCCGGAGACACGATCTATTCCTGTACATCTATCGCTGCGATTACCCTTTCGCTGAAATACACTTTGCGATTGACCTTTCTGCTTGCGAGTTCTTGGTATTTCTGCGCTTTTAAAAGTACACATGAATGAAAAAAGGGAGAGAGAGGAAAAAGAAACGAGATCAACGAACGTATTGATCTGTACATCTGATTCATTCATCCATTCATTAATTTTCATTCATTTTTTAAACAAATCTTTTTTTAATATAATATTTTTTTTATATTCCTTTCTTTCATTTTTTTTCAATTCGTCTTAAATTAATTTCTTAAACCATTCTTTTTTTCTTTATTTCTTAAATCATTCTTTTTTTCTTATTACATTTCAACTTCTTTTTTTCCTAAATAATTTGGAATGGAGAGACTCGCTCAGCCTGTACCTTCCCCCCTCAGCACCACCGCCAAAAATTGTATTTCAACAACCGCTGATGACGCAATTACCACTGTCCCAATTATCACGTCATCGCAGCCAACAGGCCCATTATGTCTAGTGTTTGTAATGGCCCGCACTTCTTCAAGGTCTAATGGTCGGTAATAGGCACTAATAACACCTCACTATCGATGCCTTCGTGCTGTGTTAGGCTCTCGTTGTTCTGTTCTTCCTCTGTTCTCTTTCGGTTGGTTGGGTGAACGAGTGGAGAACGGGTTTCTTTTTTTATGTCGTGTTTCAACTCGCTTTGTCCTTTTTTTCTTGCCTCTCTAATTCCTTAACACCTCTCTCTCTCTCTCTCTCTCTCTCTCTCTCTCTCTCTCTCTCTCTCTCTCTCTCTCTCTCTCTCTCTCTCTCTCTCTCTCTCTCTCTCACTTAGACTGAAAGAGAGGGGTGAGAGAGACAGACGGAGGCAAAAACAGAGAGACGCAAAAGATAGACACAAACAAACAGAAGTATAGACAGAGGGACAATCAAACACAAAAAAACAACAAAGAGAAACAAGAGAACCAGACACACAAACTGACAAACAACCAAATGAATAAAAAAGACAAGAAAAAGAAAGACAGAAAGACCCAAACAGACCTAAAAGACCCACAGAAAAAGACCCAACCAGACCCCAAAAGACCCAACCAGACCCCAAAAGACCCAACCAGACCCCAAAAGACCCAACCAGACCCCAAAAGACAAAACCCCCAAAAGACCCAACCAAGACCCAAACAGAAAAAGACCCAAACAGACCCAAAAGACCCAACCAGACCCCAAAAGACCCAAATAGACCCAAAGACCAAAGACCTCCAACCAGACCCAGACCCAACCAGACCCCAAAAGACCCAAAAGGCCCAAAGTCCAGAAGCAGACCCCAAAGACCCAAAAGACCCAAAAGACCCAAAACAGACCCCAAAAGACCCAAAAACCCCAACCAGACCCATCCGAAGCCAGGCAGCCTGCACCGCCCTTCCCCTTGCACCATGCACGCGGATCACAGCTTTTGGAAAAGGCAGGTCCTCACGCATTACCGCTAATGGAGCCAGAGTGGATGCAGGCGGCGTAACATCCTGTGACGTCACAAAGGAGCTTTAAATGCCTACATTCTTACGGCCGTCGCGCTGCCCAGGCCTTATGTTTTCCTGTTCCCGGGTATTGTGCGCTGCGCGTCCCTCCTCACTCTCACATCTCCTTCTTCTTCTTCCTCGAGATTGTTTGTTTGTATTTGTTTGTTTGTTTCTTTCTCTCTCTTTCCACTCACGCACTTACTCATTATCTCACTGTCTCACTATCTCTCACTATCACACACACACACATACCTACACCCCCACCCACCCACTCACATCCCCTCACTTACCCCCCCTTCCAACCCGCGAAACACACCCTAATGAATCACCGCTTCGCTTACTTCTGCCTCAACAGAAGTGCAAATGTTTTTCGCTCCAGAAAACGTTTGTCTCAAGAACTCTTTTTCCTCTTCATCTTCCTCTTCATACGCCTCTTGTGTCATTGTGTAACTCTTTCTTCCTCATGCAAATTACGTACTTTTTCTTTACATTCTCTTTTATTCTTTATCTTATTTATTTATTCTTTACTAATTTCACTTCTCTTTGTTTTTATTTTTC